CACTTAACAGTTATTGAGCTCAATGCAGATGAAGGTGACTCGTTCCTAAGGTATATGCACAAGTTGTGCACCGATGCCATTGTGAGGCAATACAGTCAATTGCTTAAGAGTTTGGGACCAAACACACCAGAATCGATTTTCTCAGCGTATCAGGAACAATATCGGCATAATCTTTCTGGCTTGCAACTGAACAAACTGCAATTTGAATCTCTTCCGTTAGGACCAAAATTGTTTCATCAAAGCCAGAAGGTAGAGCTTACCTTTAGAGGCCCAATTCGTGGAGTTGATGCACCAACTGATTGAATTAACACCTGTAAACTCCGTCAACCATGACACATTCAGCATCACCCTAATGCATCTTTCTCAACAGTAGCTGTTACAGCACAAAATTCTCGAAAACACTTACTGGTCAGTATCGATAAGCATTGAAAGATTTGGCATCAAATCCTGATGTCATACTATCCAGACCTGGCATTTATCTGGCTAGGTAGTCATGGATAGGTCCTAATACATGTCAAAGATGCACGCTATTTTTGATGACTTCAGCAAATTGCTGACTGACTCGATAAACTTAGACAGCACCATGCAGGAAGAGAGTTTAGTCAGTAAACTATTGAAGGAACTAGGACGTTGCAACCATATTGATTGCACTTTACTTGACCGGCTAGCAGTCTGCGACTCACAACCACCTCGTCTCTACAGATTTTCAAAGGTGCGCAAAGCTAACATCCCACTATGCCCTATGATTGATATCTCTGGATCAGCAGTACACCCAGTCACCAAGTGGTTAGTTGAACTCCTTGATCCAGCAAGCAAATAGTATCAAGACACCGTGAGTGATACCTTCGAATTCATTAAAAAGATAGAAAGCTTAAATGCGAAAGACAAATAGCGGCTGCCTTTCGATGTGAAACCACACTTTACAAACGTACCGCTATTAAAAACTATCTAGTTTATTTGCGAATACCTAACAGAAAACAATACCCATCCGTAACTTAGTAGATTGCGCCAAGGAACTGACTTTTATGCTGCACATTCAATAGACAGTCCATGCTTAGCGGGACATATTCTCGACACAGATTGTTTTGCGGTGGGGTCGTTTTTGGAACCGCTATTTGCTGACCTTTTCTCGCCAGGTTTGTAAAAGTACCTGTGCTCTATCTAACTGCATATCGATTTTTATAAACGATATACGGATGCCATATGCATTGTTTATGATCCACATACCGTTTATTTTTACCTACTGGGGCAGTTTAACAGTGTCCACCCCTCGTTGAAATTTATTTGTGAGACGGAGAAAGAAGACAAGCTATCTTTTCTGGACATCTCGCTGTGACGAAGAGATGATGGTCCGTTGGAATGAATCATGTATCGGAAGCCAGGATGGATAGGGAACGATGCGCACTTCCTCATCTTTGAGCCGTTGTTATAAGCGACACCTAGTCTGTTATTTTTTCTATTCTGCCGCAAAAATCTGCAGTCCAGAGATGTTTGAAGACGAAATGAATTAATCATCAGAACGCTGGGCAATGGAGAGTAGGCTGCAGCATTTATCAAGAAGCATTCCATAGTTCGCGCTTGGCCTAAATTGCCAGTGATTTTGAACAAAAAATCGCTTTCCTTTCATTTGCTCTCGTAGGTGGTATCCCCTTTGATCTACTAAAAAGGAACTTGTCCACTGCAGGGAACCAGACGTACCCAGCAGCTAGAGTGCATGTCATTAATGAGAATGCTCCGCAAATAACCCAACACCTCAAGGATATATTTTCAGTGCAGTCCGAATCTTTTGTCTTAAATGAGTTCGCTTGCACCTGTGGTTAACCATACGTCGGACCTAGCACCAAACGGCTATCTAGACGACTAGATGGGCATTGCACTGCCTCTCCGCGGCATGGGACTGTCAATATGGTCCATAGCTCAATTTCGGAGAACCATGTGAACAGTGGTCATCTTCTTCAGACTAGGAACTCCTTCAAAACCCACTATATTGTACCAAAACGGGTGCCTACTTGACTCAGAAAACTTTTGCTGGCAACTACGGAAGCCATTGCAATCAGAAGGCTGAAGCCAAAGTCAAGCAGCCAAAACGCGCTGGTACACAATTTGACCTAGCAATGGCTATGGACAGGCCAACTGGCTTTAGGCTAATTGTTCCTTGGTGATGTCCAAATTTGGCCACTGATTATGGTATCTGACAGACCCAACCTGGCTTACTCATACTACTCAGGAATAAATTATTATCCCAATGATAATTTGATTCATAAATGTATATGTCGGATGAGAATTACCGAAAAGAAATTTCTCTGCAACTATCGTTTGCTTAATTTTCACAAAAACCAATAAATCCCCCTAATACTTACCAATAATCCAATCGTTAAAACTTAAGGGATAAAAGTTGCTTACTCAATTTTAAACCTCCTGCTACTTTGCAAACACACGTTTATAATTTTAGTCTAAGCCGAGATAAATTATGCACCTAGTACCTTTAATTACACCGTTGTCGGTTGGAAGCATTCAGAATGCTGAAAGCATCTCTGATTGATGGTTTGGAAAATGCATGACTTTAGTCAAATTTGATCTAGCGTAGGTTCATACTAGTGTCCCATACAGTTTGGTGTAGTCGATTCGTTCACTTTTAATAGTTTGATGGAAGACGCTGTCATGTCGCCCGACAGATTTCATTTAAGGGCCTGAAACAGTTGCATTTTAGTAGCAACCAGTGTGCAAACATGGTGATATTGCAAGCGACACCTGAATATCGCGCAAGTCTACCTGCCAGTGGCGAATCTAAATCATTGCTTAAGTATATCTGCCATACTCTTTTTGTCATGGGTAAATTAATCGCTATGGGCTGGTCTTTATCAACAAAACCACAGTTGGTCGCTACAGGTTAAGTCTAACTTATAGTTCATTCGCATCAACCATGTACCACCTATCATTTCTAGTACAATTAGAAGTTTATCATTTCTGGTTGCTGTCCGAAATCTATCACATCTTAGGCAAAGCACCGTGCAGCCGATTCAGCCCTTCGACAACCATCAGAAATGCGCACTCCATCTGAATCTTCTATGGCTAGAATATGCAACGCGCCTGTTGCTAGTCTGTTGTGAAAAGCACTGGGTGACGACGGACCTGAACCAGTTCTTAGAAATGATATAGCTCCGGCTATTATCCATTCACTTACGGGTTACTACCGTGCAAAGGAAAGTATAGTTCGCACACGATTTTTTGGTAGGATATACTAAAACAATGTATCTTTACATATACACTTGTGGTTTCGTTGTGAATGACTAGGAAATAGTGGCATTATTTTTGCAGTCTCTTCGAAAGTTTGACATGGAAATTATAATTTGGCTGGCAACATTTGAATTACGAGTTACAGCCTCAAATGGATCAGATGAAATGCGCACTCCTGACGATTCTTGAAAGAAACTGCCTTCATCGGTGTGTGATGGCTGCCTGATTAATACTACATGTGATGACCAGCTATTTATAAAGCCCAACTTCCCATAGCCATCTATTATACTTCGCATGCAGATTACAGTTGCACAAAACTGTTACGCATTGAACACTTGTGAGGGTTCTGCTTTATCTTTGAAGTTATAATTTGCTTTTTAAGCTGCACTTTTAAATATTGCCTCAGTTCGGTCACCATTCAGAAGAAAACATTTGTTATAGTAATGTTTGCTCGCCTTTGGTTCTTGACCAGCTATACAATGACGACAGTAATGAGCATAATTCGGACCGGAGACAGCGTGGTGAAAGCTTAGAACACAGGGTTGCTAACATACATAGGAAACCGCGCTTCTAATCTACAAGATAAATACCTACTTGCAGTATACCTGTGTTTGCACGTATGGATTTTTATATCGGGGAATCTGATAGTGAATAATCTTAGCAGAATACAGCGAAGTAATTCAGCTAGGGTCTAACATACAAGTGTCGAGATCAAATCAAGGGCATTTACCACCAGATTGGTCGTAATCTACTAGTTGGCTTTAAGGTACTATTTACCACACAACTAAAATTATTTGTAGGTGGTATGTTTAGACTTGGGACTTTGCCAATTTCTTTTAGGTGTAACAAGAACACCCAGCGCACAAAAGTTCAAGCGTCCATGAAACTGATCATCAGGTACGGAAGAAAACTCATACCCTGTTTTGTACATCCGTAGCCTGCGTTGCATACGGTTGTCTCGGAAAGTTCAACAATCTGATGCATTAGGTGATTAAGAATATCAGCATCTGCGATAATGTTCGTTAAATGTCCGCTCCTACCTGTCTGTTGTTTTAATAAAGTACAAAACTCTACTATGGGCAAAGCACTTTGTTTGAACTGTTACTAAATAGGTTTCCCACATTTGTAGTAAAAGTGAAAAGCAAGACGAAATATTATTCCTTTTGGTTTGAGTAAGAAGCGGAGATTTTTAGTCCAAGCAGCCATGCATTACAGCGATAAACGAAAAGTGCCAAAGTTTGAGGAATATATTAAACGCTTTCCCACAATTTGTTTGTGAGATAGTGTTCTGGCAAGACGATTAATGGGATCGGTGAAGTACACATTTTGACTCTTGAAAAATTCAAAACGAAGATAGGTTATCCAGCTTGTGGAACTATCTTCCTCCATGCAAAAGTAGACCAGTGCCACTCGGATTCTCTTGCGTCAATTGTCTAACGACTTTTGCTTTTTCTACTTTTGCAGGAATGGAGAATATACCGGTTGTTTAATGTGCATAGTACAGCTGATGAAAAATTTCCTCGGTTTCTTACGACTTGCGGATACTAAACGCCGAGACACGTGGCAATAATTTTGCTGGAGGCTATTCGTTCAAACGGCAGTAGCATTCTGTCCTCTAGTTTCACGTAAACATTTCTTCCATTTCCAGTCTGGTGGAAATGCACAATAGGTTTTCCCACTGAATGATTCTCGAACACACTACTAACGTCCACTTCGACTAGCCTAAGATCTTTCATATTTCTTTACACCTCTTTTGTCCCTAGCTGGTTGCACATTACCATATCAAGCCATCACCTTCGAATACAAGTCTTTCCGATCATTCCAGTCCTTTGTCTTCCTCCACATGTAATATGGCTGCTATTACCCGGTGTAATGGGGAAGATAGGTCATCGTCGCAGGAGATTTCACCAAGTTGCAGTCTACCTCAACGAGCAACAATGAACGAACCAACTCAGCTGTTAAACCGGAATCACCCCCCGCCTCCTGCTGTCCCTTACTCTGAAGGCCAAGCGAATTTGTTACTCACATCTGCGCCAGGTTTCAGCGTTCCACCACCCCCACCACCTTTGAGGATTTCGAAGAGAGTTCCTGCAGAAGGCCAAGAGGTTGCCGCATCACTCCCTGCTATGGCAACATTTCGTGGTAAAATATTAATTGATATCTTTTGGCTTGCATATTTTTTACATGAAACTTGGTTGTTTAATGTAGTTCACATGTGAATTTCGTTTTGGAATCTGCTTAAATTTTAATCTATTTTCCCAGCAGCTCATAAGCTAATGGGGATATAGCACGACCTATATTCCACTACCACGCATGTCCGTACTAGTGCAGAAGACAGTGGCCAGCCTCTGGTTAAATTTGTTGGTTGTAATCAGGCGCATTACAGAGTACGCAGTAAGTAAACTTTTGGGCACAGAATTTGGGACACCATTGTGTACGTTCATCCAACAGTGCTTAGAGTGCGTTTGATAAATTTCTGTCTCAAATGAAATGGTTATTAGTGTTAAACAGATATCACCTCAACACTAAAGTGCGGCAGATCAAATTGTTTTGACTCGGTCGCCATGGACAATATTAGACAACAGTAGTGAGAATAATGTAGAAGCGATGTAAAATGCAGAGCAAACGTTGAAGACCAAGATGAATGAACTTAAATCTAGACGAAATGTCAAAGATCTTATGAAGAAAGGAACACTCACAATCGTCGTTAACTTCACGACTGTGCCCCTGATGAGACTGATCCCGAATATCCTTATACGAAATTACCACTTATGTTTTCAAGTAAGTCTCCTGTCGAATGTTGCATTCCATCTAACAATTTATAGATTGGTCAAACTGCGTATGCACTCAACTAGGTGCTGCAACGACAGCTAACATATAATGAGATAAGCAATTACCAGGTATACGAAGACCATGACCACTTAGCGTCATTGATTCAAGTTCAGCAGCATTAGCTGAACCACAACACGGGTCCTTTACCAACATCAACTGGTAGACTTTCATGTCACTCTTCTGTTACTCGCAACGTTTATACGTAATTTTAAACAGTGGTAACAGCAGACTGATATTATTGCAGCATTTTGCTCCGTGCTTTTGATTGGTTGGGTTTGCTTCTTCACTTTGCCAGATAATTGATATTGAAAGGTTTCACATGACTATCTAATGTGACGTGACCACGATGAGGGTTGAAACTACATACATATCCGCAGCAGCGGCCAAATTTGAGTGACTTTTAAGGACAGGCATACCTGGTGCCTTGCGGTCCAGTTCTGCAATGATGCATTGCATTTTTTGGTGCGAATTGCCCGGCAGTGTACAGCTTACCTCCTTCGACCGGTGGACGAGTGATCTGCAAGCCTGGATTACATTTCTAATGTCACGGGATCGAATCCGCTTGGGGCGGGCTTCGTTGCGGTTAACTCATCCCACGCGTGACCCGTGGTGGCTCTGCGTCAGCGCAGCGCCGGTACTGCTTACAGCAGACGCATTATTATTATTCTTGTTCTTATTATTAGTACTTACAACTTACCTCTAGAGACTCCTACAGTTTCAGTTGAATAAAGTGCTATATTGTGGATAGCCTTTATATTCACTACAATCGGTTACCTTGTGTTACTAGTTTTCTTCACTTAAAAATATTTTCGTCTACCTTTTGCACCGTTATGATAACCATTTAGTTCTGTTGGCGATGCCAAAGGACCAGTGCTATACGCTTTTTCAGAAGCGTTTTGCTTCGATATCGCCATTGAACAACAATTTACATTGGACTTAATTGAACTAAACTCACCGGCGGTGCTAAAGACCAGTAAAAACTATTCCACGTGCTAAGCCTCCTCATTGATATGCTGACCTTAACTAACGCGGGCTTCTTTCTTCGCCAAAGATGCCAGTTTGGACGTTTACCTTGGTGTAATGTCAATGCACTTCTCCAGTTTAATCACTAATATCTTACTTGAGGGCCACTTTGGAGTACATATTGTGTGAATGGATGGTGACGCGCAGTCTCAAGTTAGTCCGCAATTCACATGGAAGCGAACGTCGATCAATGCGATCATTGAGACTGTAGCCGAAGCAGATGGAATTTTGGAGTTTACCGCCAAAAACCGCTGCACACTGCTACGCGTTTAAATCTCATTTGATCTTATCAGATGGGGATAACAGGCGTCGAACCCGCGACCGTCGGAATATTAGCCGAAACCTCTACACCTTTGGCTACCGGGTCACGACGAGCAAGGCTTGGCAAAACGGTTAATGGCTGATTAGAGTGTCTTTTAGAATCCCAGCTGCTTGTGTTTTTCAAATGCGGCTTACGTAGGCATCATTGAAGGCAGTCGTCAGGACTAGATGAAACAATTAAGCAATTATTCTAATAAACGAGTTTATTAGATAAATCTAACTCAACGAAGAAGTTCCGAATCCTCACTAGGCGGATTCCAAAGTCATAGAGGCAGATTGAGATATTAACTAGGTAAATAGCTTCAGCTTGGTCATACCTCAACACTAAGCATTTTTCCAGAGTAATTAGATAGATCAAAATTACACTAAGCTGATTAACCCCTATAAACTCATTGTTCATTGTTCATGGGATATAACAGATGCTTTGTTCCATCGTGCATTTAAATGGTTTAGAGATTATATTTATTTAAAGCCACCCGTAGGTATGTGCATCGGATCGTGGACAAAAGAGCATTTGTCTCAAGCAAGACGGTCGTTACTACGGTTACGTATATCTGGTAATGTTGCCACAAGTAGCCAGCATTAAAATGGAATTTTATTGACTTGTCCAAGGTCAGTCATTGAAGCAATCGTGCACCAGCAGTGAAATGAATCTGTATGCGGACACGCAAAATCAGTTCTCCGTGAGCTCTCAAGAAAAGAAAGTTAACATTAATGCAGGTATTTCATCTGATGCTAATGCATCTAGCCCTTAAAACTTCATAGTCCCTTTTGACAAACTTTCGAGTTACTTGTGTTAGTGATGGCTGACGAGATGAGTGGTTTGTCCATTGAAATGAGCTCCCTTCCTCAATCCGTTGAATGCTTCCGGTGGAACAGCAGAAGCGGCTTTTGCAGAGCAATATAGCTGTAAAAATTTAAGAGAAAGTCGAAAAAATTTCTGTGTATTATTTCTGTGCACTTAACTTACTTAAACGGGGTTGAATTATGTCCACAATGAATTCCCTAGCGATGAAAATTTTGCTAAGGAAATCAGCACAATTTACTTACTGTAGGTTAGGTAATGACACTTTGAAACTACTCCAGGACTGGATAAAATATGCAATTTCAAATGGTGTCAATACATTAACCTTTTTTGTCTCTACTCGTGAAAACCAACGTTCCGCTTAATCATCGGCTTCCAAATATTCGTTCTGTCCTGTTTTTCACTCCTTTTCACTATGAGTTTAAAAAGCTCGTATTCCGTTGAATGAATAAAATTTTGTTGGGTTGATAAGGAATCATGTTTGGTCTAGCTGAAATTACCCCATCTGATTGACTACCTTATTAGAGAAGATACTACACCATTCCAGGCTCCCTGTGACTCTGCGCCAAAACCTTACTGGTCAATCGCAGAATCATCTTGTAAATGTCATGCTTCTTAGAGCCATGTAATGCTGTAAAAGGAGGTAACACACTGGCAATATCTCTTCCGTACTTTGTTTTTAATGGTCACGAAGGTCAGCTTGTGTGCAGCAGCAATGGCGAAATTCAGGTGAGCAACTACTAAGGCGCCTCTTTCGCCGTAAGCCACCCCTGTGCACAGATCTTGCTAGAGTGGTCGATATCGCTGAAATGTCACATCCAATGCGTGTACTTTGGAACCAGACGAATTTGTCACCGTCCGAACGGGCACAATAAAACGGTCCTGAATTACTTTTGCGACTGGCGCATAAAATGATTTGCTTCCACGGTACTGCATCTTTTAGCGAGAGAGCAGTGCACCCGTTTAAAACTGTCAGCAGTTAGTCAAAACACAGGAAAAGTTAAGGAGTTCACCATGGCATACATTAAATACACCACACATAGTTTAGTTTACCTTTCTTTTACCAACACGGAATAACACTATTTATTAGCGGTGTGCCATTGATCTACGCTTCGATCGGCTCAATTGATGCTATCCCAATGTTACGGGTCAATGGTTATAACCACTGGACTTTGTAGAAACACGGCAGTGAGCTTTATGTGATTCTCGTTGTATACTCAGTTGTAACACCCACGTCACTGGAGAGTTGGCTTCAATTGTTCATAATAATTTGTTTGTTATAAAGTCGGTAACTTTCCTGCCATCCCGTGATTTTAAATATTGACGCATAACAATATGGTCACGTATTCCAAATCTCCAAAAGGCAGATGGAATAAACACTACTAACGAGTCTTGCAAGCACGAGAAGGACCTTCACCGCTTTTTCGTATTCTGATACCAGCTGGATGTAACTAGCTGTACTAAATTCAGCCATCTAGTCATTGGAAAGCCATACCAGTTTATTTGGCTCACTTTAGCTGGGTTATTAAGCGACTAAAAGGACTGTGCATAAAATGCGGACCCTGGAAGTCTTCATTGTGTCCGTTCGCCGTGACGCGCGCACACATAGTGCGCACCGCTGTGCACAAGTAAATATTTAGTGGCAAGGCTAATGTATTTAGGGTGTTTTGATATACCGGCTCTAGCACCGTACAGTTCAATGTATGATTTGGCTGTTAACTAAGGTGCCAAAAACCAAGCTGTATTGTCATTATTAACTGGGACGTGGCAGTGGGATTGAACGTAATCTAATGGAAGTGGTGAGACTTCCATAAATGTCGTCAATCGCGATATCGATTCTGATCAACGTAATGCAACTAAATAGATGCAACATATCTCAGAATAAACTTTTCTGTTTTTTGTTCATGAAACTTCTGGTAACACTTACTCGGATGGTGGGAACATGATTCAAATAAAGCGTGATTTACTTTTGAAAACATGTATGATGGACCGAAAAGACGTTCGATGTTAGTCAAAGGTTAGGACATAGCAGTGTGGTTGTCGGAGGACATTTTCATCTCTATTTGCCGAATTAATATATATATATATATATATATCCAACAGTTGAAGTAGCAGACCTTGAAACCTGAGAGAAGTATGGAAATCAAGAGAAAGTAAAATT